ACATGCTTACCATCAATGCACAGACCATCGTTGTGTTTTAGTGAAATATTTAAATTATTTAATACTTGCATTCCAGTTACAATAAAAAACACTAACCCTATCCTATCCCTAATAACAAACATCATTATCGTGCGCATCCATCAGAAGCTCTCTCTTTTGTTTTTACTTCCATCGCCTTCTTCTTCTTTCTTCTTCTCTTTTTGTTTTTTTTTGTTTTTTGGAAACGCAGCGATTTGGGGAGGGGGGCTCTTTTCCAGGTTTTCCTGGGATTCGAAGGGTGACCAGGGGGGGAGGTAAACCCCTCGGTCTTTTCTTCTTCTTTCTTGTTTCTTATTTTTTCTTTCTTCTTCTTATTCCTTCTTCTTTTTCTTTTTTTTTTCTTTCTTCTTTCTTCTTTCTTATTAGAATATTGGCAAATCAATCTGGTTGAGTGTTTGATAAACTTTGAATTTTGTATTATTGAGCAGATTTTAGCTTTTATTTTTCTTTATATTATTTTGTGGTATTATTGAGAGATAACTGTGGTATTTTGGATTTTTTTTTTGAAGCTTTCATTTTATATCGATTTTGTTATTAATATGTTTCTTCTTTAGTTTTTCAGGGGGATTGTTTTTTTTTTCTTTTTCTGTTTTGATTCAAGGGGCTACGTTTGTTTCTTGGAGTTCTTGTTTGTATTTTTTCCTTAAAAAAATCGGGGATTCGGGGCGAGTATGGGGGATGGTCCCCCGACAGGTACGGGGCGGGGATTCCCCGAACCATATTAAACCGGGATGGGGGCGGGTACGAGGGAGGGTTTGGGAATCGGGGTCGGGGACGGTATTGGCAAACCCGGACCATACCCGGCCCGTTGCCATCCCTAGCCCTGAGATATCAATTTCATCAATTTACATCCTAATATTTTCAAACTTGTCTAATTTTATCATTCCTTTAAGTTGACTGTGTGGTTAACCGTTAAATGCTGACATGGTGCATATGGGACCAATTTTTTATTTAATTGAAATAGAATATTATTTAAAAAATATAATTAAATTTAAATAAATAAATATTAAATATTAAAAAACTGAAAAAATCCAACAACACTCAATCGTTCAGATCTAGAAAAATCTCGACACCTCGCAGCCGCACCTCGCCGTCCTATCTTCTTCTCCTCTCTGTGAGTATCTCGTCGAAAACCGAACCAAACCACATCGAGAAATCGGCGCGACGACCACATCGGTTTCAAGAGCTTCGGTCCGGTGTGCGCTCTAAGAAATTGTCAAACCGTGGCCTTGGGTTCGATGCTCGGTTGAGGCTCAACACCGAACCAAACCAGAGCAAGCCCAGGCCTAGTTCAAATGGCAAGTCCTTCTTGGGTTTCAGAACAATGCCTCACTAATTTATTGTAATAAATCTCTTTGTGTGACTGAGATTGCACTAGACACATTCATTTTAGTACTTTTTGGTACTTAATTGCATGCAGATGCAATCCTCAAATTCCAGGAGAGATTTGGATGCTAGGGTTTAGAGTGTGACTCGTGAGAGTTTACCTAATGACGTCATCTGAAATAAAATTTGGGGCATTGGTTTCATTGCAAGACCTACATCCATCTTCCTTTTATTTCAAGCAAGGGGCTTCGTTGAGAGTAACTGGAAAGTAAGACTTGTGCCCTTTCAATGCTTAGAGTGGGGCCGAGTAGGCCGGTGCTACGGTTCGGTGGTGGTCGTCGAGGAGAGTGAGGAGCATGGTGGCGGTTGGATAGAGCTAGCTAGCCCTCCTGATCTGTTTCCATGGCCGCTTCAGACTCAGTGTAAGAAAGAAGGGTGGATTTGGGCAGTGGCCATGGCGAATCTAGGCATGGTGGAGGAGCTGGGCAGTGTCACGAGGAGGGGGGAGGAGCCAGGCCCGGCCCTGGCCAGGGGCAAACAGTGCGATCGCCCTGGGCCCAATATTCAGAGGGGCCCAAATTTTTTTTTTTTAGTAAGTATTATATTAGATTATTATAACTATTAACTAATTTAATATTTTGAAAAGAAAAAAAAAGACCAACGATGGTCTGTTTCACTCTTCAAGAAGAAGAATATTTGGATCTATTCCATTCCACTGCTCAAGAAAAAGAACATTTGCATCTGTTCCATTCCACTGCTCAAGAAGAACATCTGTTCCACTCCTCAAGAAGAAGAACGTTGCATCTGTTCTACTCCTCCAGTTCGTCGCTTTTGCTGGTGCTTCTTATTCTTCTTCTTATTCTTCCTCTTCCTCTACAGAATTTTGAATCCCCTTCATTTCATCTCATCTAAGCCTCTCTATTACCCTGAACTTGAAGCTGGAGCAAATTTCCTTGATGTTTGAGTGATTGAGTTTTTCCCAAAGAGAGAGAAAGTTGAGAGCGATGGTTTTTGTTGTTGGATTTTTTCCCTTTTTTTAATATTTAATAATTATTTATTTAAATTTAATTATAGTTTTTAAATAATATTCTATTTCAATTAAACAAAAAAGTGGCCTCACATGCAACATGTCAGTATTTAACAGTTGATCACACGGTCAACTTAATGGAATGATAAAATTGGACAAGTTTGAAAACATTGGAGTGTAAATTGATGAAATTGATACCTCGGGGTTCATATTGAGAATGACCCCAAATCCAGAGGGTCTGTTTTGATGTTAATCCATTTAAATTCTATTGTCAAAATGTGAAAGTGACAATTTAACAGTAAATATCTGTATGAAAATTCAAATTCTTGATCTGCACTAATCTTTCATCAAATATAGTAATTTATGAAATTTGAGCTTGGAATATCTTACAATAAAACAAAAATTAATAAGGTTAGCGATATAAAAGGCTGTAAATAATTAGGCATTTTTGAAGTTCGTACACAATTTATTTGACATTTACAAAACTATAGTATAATGGCCGCCCTACATTTATGGTATAAACACGAAATGGTGCATTCTTAGGCCTTCCGTTAAAATCAGATATCTTATAGACAGTTTAAAACAAGGTTTACCTTGAGATTTAATGGCGAAAATTTAAACAGCTGATCAGTCCTGCATGCATGATGAATTTTATACTGATCTAACTTCTAAGCAGCTCCTAGCAACTCTCTGACGAAACCTTGTACGAAACCTTGTTCTAACTAATCTAGGATGTGATGTGTCATGCAACCCCTTGCTTATGTGCCCTCTGACATGGGCCATGGCACTTGACTTTCAGTTCAGTTGCAGGAGGTGTTTGCTTGTGTTTGATTAATTTGTTTGTAGATTTACAGGCACATCTGAATGTTATGTGCATTGTGGCTTATCAGACATGAGTTGAGTATATATTTTGTTACAGAGAGAGAGAGAGAGAGAGGGATTTCTGCATAATTATTGAATTCACATTTTATTTAGTTAAATTGGGCAAATCAAAGTGAAATAAAATCATTCATCTCTCCCTCTCTCTCTCTCTCTACTATATATACATCTGTAAATTGGGTGGTAGAGTAGTGCTCTTAAACGCTTCCCATGTTAGGCCTTTCTGCAAGTATTCTATATTGGAAGGGTCAAAAGGCCCTTTAACCCTGTCTATAGACTTTATCACTGCTCTTGCAGGAAGAATGCTCTTTGATGGGTCCGGTGAAGTCCTATAGCTCAAGCTCGAAGAGATTCCCTGAAATAATTATCAGATAAATGTCATCATAACTATGCATAAGCAATGTTCGAAAAATCGCTAGCGGTAGGAGGGTGGCAGACAAGAACCTAGCGCCTAGAGGAGTAATCGGGGCCTAAGTGGGCGGCTAGACGTTTCTTTTTTTTATAATTATTTTGTATTATAAATGATAAACTAATACCAAAATCATGCAAAATAAAAAGATAAATAAATAAAAAGTCCAAAGTGATTTGCTTTCTTAGTAAATGCGCTTAAAAATATAAGCAAAGTTTTAGACAAATGCTGTTACCAATCCACTTTTGAATATAGTGCCACCAAAACAAACCAAATATTGATCACCAGCACCACCAATAAAAGATAAAAGATAAAAGAAATTGAAATTGAAAATGATTCGAAGCACACCTTGAAGATAAGCACTTGCACATCTTGGTCATCAACCACTGCATGCACAATAAGTGCTTCTCCTCTCACACTCTGACTATATAATTCCAACACTGCTATCTCCTTGTGATGCCCGTACTCTTCCTCCTCCTCATCCTCACCATCATCATCATATCTGACGGCTCTCCGCCTGGCAGCGCAGCAAATGCTCAAGGCCCTTCTTGGTCTCAAGATATGCAAAGCGTCAGCTGAGGCAGAGCAGGTTCTGAAATATCTGCTATCTGCTGCAGATTTGGAGGAGGTGGGCTTTGGAGAAAATGGTAATTTGGGTGAGGAGGAGATGAGCATAACCCATCTTCCCGATTTGAAGTGCTTCAACATCATAATTATTGGATTTTGGAAATTGGAAATGAGTACACAACTTTGATCCTTGAATGAAGATAAGGGTCGGTCCCAGTCACACGGTTGGGTGCAATTTATTATCAAAGACACTCTGAAAGCCCATCTTAAAGATGGATGGGTGGGATGATCAACTTCTTGGGTGTTAATATATAAAGGCCCAAATCATTCTTAAGAAAATACAGAGGCCCAAGTCACTGTGGGCCAAGACCCCAACCACATTTGGCAAACTTACCCATCACGTCACTGGATCAGCAAATCTTACTATATTTCCTATTTTATTTTTCTTGCCCACTACGCGTACGTAGGGGTGGGCATCAATCCGGCCGATCCGGTCAAATCAGCCGAATCAATCCGTATTTGCCGGTTTGATTTGATTTTGACTAAAAAAAATCAACAGTTTTAAAATTCGAACCGAACCGGAGTGATTTGGTTCAGCTACAGTTTTAAGCTTTGAAAAATTGTGCTAATCCGAACCGAACCGTTCAAATATTAATTAATTATATATATATTAATTTACATGTGTCAATAGTTGAGTGGCTAATTAGAAGTGGTAGTATGTACACTGAGCTACACTGAATTGGACTCCAAACCAATTATTTTTGCTACTCTTCGGACTCCAAACTCATCACATCTCACAGACCTTCCTTTTCCTTGAACGCGCAGCCACACAACACAACCCACATCTCAGACTCTCATTTTCCTTTGAACAACTACAACCTCCACTGCTTCAATCAAACACATTTTGCACATCTGAGAAACATGTTCATCCATCGTCGGCGTCGCACATCTCAGAAAACTGGTATGTTGTTTTTAATTGTATAGGCTATAGCTCCAATTTCATTTGGATCCAACAACTACAATCTTACGTATAGGTATAGCTCCAATTTCATTTAATTAAGCTCAACTAGGAATATCCCATAATTATTATGATTATCTTATACTGGAACTGAAACCCCACCCACTGCTCCAATTTCTTTTTGATTATTTAATTATTATGCTATAGGTCTTGTTATTCTTATTAAGTATTTTCACATTCTAGATTTACTATAACGCAAGGTATCTCACCAACTTCAATCTCTAGCTTGCACTGGAATAAAAAAGCCTCTCAACTTGATGATGAATTTTACGATTTTGATTGCTGAACTATTAAATTTGTGATGATCTAATTGATGAAATTAACTCTAGATGCCTGGATTAATGATACTTGGATATAAGTGTGGTGTGGTTGCAATTTGTTGGTGATTATGGATGAAGCTAACTCAGTGCCAATGATGGTGAGTTCTTCTAATTTATTTAATGTTCATGATGAAGTTCTGCAATTTGTCTGTGATTTATTAGATATCCATGACATATTGGTTCTCCAATTTTTTGTGATTGTAATTTTTGAGATCAAAAGCTGACAGTTCTTCTAATTTATCCATTTTTTATATATAGAAATGCAGAGATCAAATGCTATTGCACCTGTGCACATTTTCACTGATTGATTCTCTATTGATGCACAACCTTGCAGTTATGGTTATTTTCTTATTCTGGCATATTTTGATAATCTTGTATCCTAAAATTTGTGTTGATTGAAACTGCTTTTATGTGCAGTATCGGACAGACCAGCATACTACATCAGAAAAAGACTTCAGTCATGTGCCACAAAATCTGTTTTAATATGTTTCTTGCTTTTAATTTGTTTTGATGGAAATTAGGACCTTTAGAATGGGGACATACCACTTTAGAATGTTTGTTTTGATGGAAATTATGAATTATTTAATTTCTTTTTTATTATTTAATTATTATGATTTTGATTGCTGAACTATTAAATTTGTGATGATCTAATTGATGAAATTAACTCTAGATGCCTGGATTAATGATACTTGGATATAAGTGTGGTGTGGTTGCAATTTGTTGGTGATTATGGATGAAGCTAACTCAGTGCCAACGATGGTGAGTTCTTCTAATTTATTTAATGTTCATGATGAGGTTCTGCAATTTGTCTGTGATTTATTAGATATCCATGACATATTGGTTCTCCAATTTTTTGTGATTGTAATTTTTGAGATCAAATGCAGACAGTTCTTCTAATTTATCCATTTTTTATATATAGAAATGCAGAGATCAAATGCTATTGCACCTGTGCAGACTAATCCGAACCAAACCGATCCGTTCTTTTCTTATTGGTTCAGCTGTGGTTTGAGAGTAAAACTGAACCAATCCGGACCGTGCCCACCCCTACGCGTACGAGTTGGCTTTCTTTTCAACGGTTGAATCAAAATCTTAACAAAAAGGAAAGAAATGGTTTTTCGTCCAAAAAAAAAAAAAGGAAAGAAATGGTTTAAGATTTTTCATTCCTTTTTTATTTCCTTTGATTGTGTTATTTTGAATTCGTTTTGAATATTGATAAACCATATTTGGACTTCTTAATTATGGTTATTTTTTTATGAATCAAAGCTTATTACTCGTGTCGTGTGTACATAAAAAATTATTGCATGTGCAAGTAAAAGTTTGTCTGGTTGGTCAAATAATATCGTAGTAATTTTATTTTAAAAAATCATATCAAAGAAAAATAAAAAAAGGCATTTTCTTTGTGTAACATGGGTTAAATATGAATTCAACAAAAAATTGTTTATTATTTATGTGTTTTTACAGAAATTTATTGTTGACCACCAGAAAAGATGGACAATTTATGTTAATTCATATTAACTGTTAAATAATTTTTTGGGGGCCAATTTACTTACATTGTCATTGAGCGCAGACCCGCTGTGACTGGGACAGAGCCGAGCGTCTTTACGGCCGCAAAGACGCACGCGACGCGAACGTAGCACTGCGAGCTGGGCCCCACAGCCCCACACACTCTCTATCTCTGACTCTCATTAACTACCCCCAACTTCAATTATTTCCCTTTTATTAAAAACAATCATTAAAAAAAAAACCAATCATTCAAAGAAACAAAATAAAAACGTTTTTTTTTCTTTTCTCTTCCTGGCGTTATCTTCTTCACCCCCAATTGATATAAACCCCTACTCCCCCTTTGCTCGTCTCTGACAGTCAAACAATCAAAATTCGAACACCATTTGGTCCAATTCTCTTTCTTTGATCGTTCCCCTGAACCCTAACTCCGAATTCTAAGGTTTCCCCTCACGGATCTCGTTCCAATTGATTCCACTTTCACTCTTTGCAGCCATTAGAAATGGGAAATTTCAGTCCATTAGGGTTTGATCATTAGTGTGTGTGTGTCTGTTTATCCTTGTGGTGGAGGTGGTGGTTATGGCTGCTTTGCAGAGAGTGGCGCAGTCAAGCGCGAGCACTACTGCGAGTAGCTACGGTTCGTGTAAAGGTGGTGCTGCTTCGTCCTTTTCTGCAGCCAACGAAATGGCGGTCTCCGATCGGTTTCCGGCGGGCTTAAGGGTTCTGGTGGTCGACGATGACACCACTTGCTTGAGGATTCTTGAGGTGTTGCTTGGCCGGTGTGCCTACCAAGGTATGTCGTTGATCTTTTTCTTTCTCAATGATGGGTTTTACTTTCGTTGCCTGTTGGGTTTCCTTCCAAGTGTGGTTAGGTGCTATGAGTTGATTTTCTTATGATTGTGAATGGGTGGTGGTGCTACTGATTCTTGCTTGTTTACTTTGCAGTTTGGTCATTTTCCATGAGTTATTTTTGTAATACTAGTTTGTAGTTTGTGAAAAAAACTGCATGGCGTTTTTGTTAAACCTAGTATTTTTCTGGTCTGGTTCAGAGAGTAGAAAAAACAAAATTTTCCTGATATATAATATATTTCTTATCTCATCTATTAATGTTGCTTGCAGTTACCGCTTGCTCCCAGGCTACTGTTGCTTTGAATCTTCTACGAGAGAGGAAAGGCTGTTTTGATGTGGTACTGAGTGATGTTCATATGCCTGATATGGATGGATTTAAACTCCTGGAACATGTTGGGCTGGAAATGGACCTTCCTGTTATCAGTGAGTATAGGAATTATATATATTAAGAAATTTGATCATCGAATTACGCTTATTTGTATTAACCTGACGCTGTATTAACAGTGATGTCTGCTGATGGGAGAACAAGTGCTGTTATGCAAGGAATTAGACATGGGGCCTGCGATTATTTAATTAAGCCTATACATGAGGCAGAACTCAAGAATATTTGGCAGCATGTTGTTAGGAAAAAATGGAACGGAAATAAAGAACTTGATCATTCTGGGAGTTTGGAAGATAATGATCGGAATAAACGAGGAAACAGTGATGTTGAATACACATCTTCTGTTAATGAAGGAACAGAAGTAATATTGAAAGGTCCGAAGAAGAGGAGCAATACTAAAGAAGATGATGATGGTGATATGGAAAACGATGATCCGTCTACCTCGAAGAAACCTCGTGTAGTGTGGTCAGTTGAACTCCATCAGCAGTTTGTCAGTGCTGTGAACCAACTTGGGCTTGATAGTATGATCTTTAACTTTTTACCTTGTATTTTGGTTTTATCACAATCACACACACACACACACACACACACATATATATAGGATGAGGTGCTATAGTTCGGTAAATGTTATTCTTTATAGCATATGATGTGTTATGGCGTAAACGTTGTGTCACCTAAAACATCTTATATGTGGACCATTTGGTATTTCTTTGGTTTGTGCATGTTTGAAAATAAGTAAGTTCACCAACTTAATATCTGAGGAATCTGGGAAGTGGGGCCGTCCAGTGGAGACAGATGATTTTCAAGTACAAGTTACATATAAGTAACCATAAGTCATTTGACTCCAAAGTGATAATTCTTGGTGTAATTTGGATTTCAGTGAAAATTTACCTCCACCCTGCAAGCGTATGAACGAGATTTATTTACATGAAACTTTTCTTTTAAACGAAGAGAAAAATTTATGTCTAAGAGTGTAGCCTTATAGTATTATCTCAGAAATCATAATGTGAATGCTCAATCCTTCACTGATCATAATTTTTTTTCCTATGTCAGAGGCTGTACCAAAGAGAATTCTTGAATTGATGAATGTACCTGGTTTAAGTAGAGAAAACGTTGCAAGTCATCTACAGGTCTTGTTCTTCCCCTCATATTAATCTCATAGCTTTGATTGCTTTGGTGTTTTTGTCATTGTCATTGAAAGACACATAAAAGAATTGGAGGAATTAGATATATGCAATTGTCAATATCATAACTGAAAGAAACTGAGTGCGATTATGCATTACATGTATTTCCAAATCATCAGTTTATCTATTTTAGAAACCCAGCGTGAATTATGAGAACACCAATGCTAGTTATTTGATTTATTTTCCACACGCACATGAGAACATCCAATCCATTGAATACTATCATATTCCATAGAGAAAGAAGTAGTAAGTTCACCATAATCCAAATAAGAATCTTTATTTCTTATTCTCTGACTATCAGTAATTTTGCATACAAGAATCTGATTCTGACTCTGATTCTAAGATGTGGACTCATATTTGAGAGTTTTATTCTAGCTTTTCTGTTTCATATCTCCATTGCGGGATGATCATCTCTTTCTGAAAAGAAAAAAAAACCATGTGAAATTTTATTTTATCTTGCATTTACCTTTAGACTTGTTCACACAGAATTTACTTGAATGCTTTATTGGTTTTCCTAACAAATATTTGCTTAAACGAATAAGTGAATGTGCAGAAATTCAGATTATATTTGAAGAGATTAGCGCAACAACAAAGTGGGATTTCAAATGGTTTTTGTGGGCCTGTAGAATCAAATGCGAAACTGGGTTCGCTTAGTAGATTTGACATCCAAGCTTTGGCTGCCTCTGGCCAAATTCCTCCGCAAACACTAGCCGTCCTGCAAGCTGAGCTTTTAGGTCAACCTGCAGGGAACCTTGTTCCAGCAATGGATCAGCCTGCTATTCTACATGCATCTCTACAGGGACCCAAGCGTGCTCCTGTTGAACATGGTGTGCCATTTGTGCAGCCTTTGATAAAATGCCAATCGAATGTTTCCAAACATTTTCCACAATCCATCATACCTGCTGAGGATGTATCTTCAGGGTTTGGATCTTGGCGGTCTAATAGTCTTAGTACCGTGGCACCAAGTAACAATCTCGGAGGGTTGGCTACTCACAATAGTAGCATGCTGATGGACATTATGCAGCAGGAACAAAGACAACATAAGAAAACGCAGCAGCAATCTGTGCTAACTGAATCTAGCCGTTTGATTAATGTGCAGCCGTCTTGCCTTGTGGTCCCCTCTCAGTCATCAACTAGTTTCCAGGCTGGAAATAGTCCTGCTTCTGTCAATCAGAGTTGCAGTTTTAACAGGTCTACTGTTATTGATTACAGTATTCTCTCAGCTCAATCTAATAATTCCTCATTGAATATCGGACATATACCAACTGGAAATCTTAAAACTCCCAGCATTCTTGATGGGTACTCAGCCCATGGTTCTGTTCCTACCACATCTTGCTCAGTTAATGCTGGCAATAACACCAGCCACCAGAACTCAGCTGTGCCATTTTGTGATTCTAGACAATTGCCTGGGGTTTTGCATGACATGTCAAACATCCAGGGTTTATATGTTGATAAATCAGGGGAAATGCTCGACCAGGGATCCCTTAGGAATCTTGGATTTGTTGGTAAAGAGACTGGCATTCCAAGTCAATTTGCAGTGGATGATTTTGAATCACAAGTGAGTAACTTGAACCATGGAAAGATCTATGTGGAGAACAGTGGTAATCCAGTCAAGGAGGAGCCAAGTATGAATTTTGTGGATAATGCCAAAGTAGGCATCCCAATATTACAAGAATTTTCTTGTAGTGATTTCATGAGTGTTTTCACTGAATAGGTAACTTCTACCTTGGTATTATTCTATTTTCTTTTCTGCTGTCTTAGCACGTGCGTAAGAGTGTGTGCGTGTGTTTCTAGCTACCAACAGTTCTTTTCTCTGATTCTATTGAATGAGAATACACACATGGACTGAATTGCGTAAAAAAGATTTGAGCTTTTGCTTGTTGATATTGTTAGCAATGCTAACAGATTTTGTTGGTTCATTATCTAATTCTCATTTTTATTTGCGCAGGCATTTGTTGTGTGGTTAGCGGAAGTCTCTTGATTTCCATGGTGCGTACAGATTATTTCATGTCATCAAATGTTCAGTAGAGATGGCAGT